CACACACACACACACACACACACACATACACATACATACATACACAATACATACATACATACATATACACACACACACACGTATGTATGTATATACATATATACAGTACTCTGCAGCATCCCTGGTTTCTTACACTTCCATTAAATCTTATATATAGAATTAAATCCCCCCTTGTTTTTTCCGCCAAATTGGAAAATGAGAGCAGCCAGTGAGGCTTCAGACTGATAGATAGTTAATGTAACAGAATATAACACCATCAGTATAACATTCTCTACCATCCATCTGTAACAGTAAAGGAAGGTGAAAAGCACCGTAAGAAATTCTGAAACATTCTGAGCATCAGGTAGAGAAACAGAACCCTCTTTTGTAGGAAAAGAAAATTTTGGAGTAATTACAAAGTAGACATTACATAGCATTCATTTCAAACTTTTTTTTTTTTTGGCCTGAAGTTAGTCCCACTGAAGTAGCACGTCCTTAAATTCACATGGTGGCTCCTTTCTGTATAATGAAGCATCCAGTTAACATTTTACTTGCTGTAGTAAAATACAGGTCATCTACAGTTTAATCACATACCTACCCCTCCTTTCTCCTTCAAAGTCTTTCAAACTGAGTACTGTTATTCCTCCAAGATACGAAAGAGTTTCTTTATATGAAATCAAATATATAAATGTCTTTGCATGCTGCTAGTTTTGCTAAAGCACAAGCAGTCACTTTTTTTTTTTCTTTCCAGCTATGTGTTCAATCACAAACTCTTGCAAAATCCAAAACCAATGTGTTGTAATCTGGGGTTACTATTAGCCATAGTCTTTAAGCATTTCAGTGCTTGATGGTCTGTACAATTAGGAGAGGCATCAGGTTGGGTAGCTGCATGGAGTCACTATATTCAACACAAAATCTTATTGCATTAGCAGGCTTGGGTCTAAGCACAACAAGTGAAATATCAATGGTTTGTCCCTTCTCCTTCTCCTTCTCCTTCTCCTTCTCCTTCTCCTTCTCCTTCTCCTTCTCCTTCTCCTTCTCCTTCTCTGATCTCCTCACTCAACTTCATTGCTTCCACTTCTCTCCATTTATTACCTCCTTTTCCTTTCTTTTCCTCTTTTTATCCCTTCCAGTTACCAACCATATCTTTCCTCTTTCTTGACTCCACCCTCTCTAAGTACTCTTAGCTTTCCATCTCTTTTCCTTATAAGGAAATGTCCTGTTAATGCTTTGCTTGCCCTAGCAAAATGCAAGTAAGCCACTGTTTCATCACCGTAGGTAACACCCCTCCCATTAGCATCTTTCCGTTTGGTTTCAGAGACTTTTAATCGGCCCACGACGTTCACCAGCCTTGCAGCCATGAGCGGCAATGCCTTCGGGGGACTTGGCAACCATGCCGTTAGTGAGTAAATTCTCCTTCGGCTCTGGCTATGTCGTGCTTTGGGTTGGTTTAGTAGCAAGGATGCAAAAACAGTACAGATTCATGCAGAAAAGCAAGAGAATGTGGAGTACCTCTGCCCTCTACAAACCCTTTTTTGTCACAGAAATCTAGATCCAGGCAAAGAAATTCTCTGCCTGTTTGCATTTCCATATGATGAAGGGAGGAGAAGAGAACTTCAGGAAAGTTCTCATTGACAGAATTTGGTGGTTTTGCTATGTTATCAAGGGGGCAAGAAGTGTGTGCATGAATGTCCTGACTTTCGTTGCACAATCATGTCTCCACTTGTCTGCTGTTTTCCTTGCTTCCCACTTCTCCATTAAATCCCCAGTGAAGATAACCAGGACAGAAAGTATCTCATTAGATTTTGAGTAGCAGGTTTATTTTTTTCTGCCCCTGAGAAATTATGAAGGCATTTCTCCTTCTTTGGGAGAAATCCTGAAAAATTGTCCATCCAATTTCTCTCCCCTCCCCGCACTCCAATTTGGTGGAGAATTTTGAAAGGGCATTCATATTCAGCCCAGTGTAAATTGATACAGGTAGCGGGTGAGGGTTAATAGCGTACAGGTAGTCCTCGACCTACGACTATTTGTTCAGTGACCGTTTAAAGTTACAACAGTGCTGAATGAATGGCGGTTACCACCAGTCCTTGGAGTTTCAGCCATCCCAACACCCCTGCAGTCACATGATTGTGATCTGGGCACTTCGAACCTGGTTCACACTTGCAACTGGCTGCAGTGCCCCATGAGCATGTGATCACCATTTACAACCTTCCCTGCTAGTTTCCCCAGAAAGTCAGTGGGGAAACCGACAGGCAAGGTTGTAAGTTGCTGGGTTAAGTCTCCCCCCCAACATCCTCCCCCAGTCCCTCTGTGCTAACACCTTCCAGCCACTTGCAACCCCCACACAACTTCCCGGACCCACACTGCACCCCCTCACACCCTCATGCACCCTCCCCAACCTGTACTGCAAGCTCACGGAACCTCCTCAACCCTTGCTACATCCTCGTGCACATTCCCTGACCCACGCTACACTTCTCACTCACCTCACACCTCCTTGAACCACACCATGCCTCTCACACTCCCCCTCACGCCCTCGTGCACCCTCCCCAACCCTCGCTGCATCTCTCATGCACCCCCTCACAACCTCATGCACCCCCTCGCACCCCCTCCCTGACCCTTCCTGCACCTCTTGTACACCCCCTTGCACCCTCACACACTCTCTCTGACCCTTGCCATGCCTCCCTGCACCCACCCAGCAGCAGCCACTTACCTGCCTACCAGCCTGGGACTTGCAACTTCCTGCCAGCTTCCCCACTGACTTTGGTTGTGGAAAGCCAGCAGGAAGTTGCCTTGCCTAACA